AGAGTTCAATCCCCATTAACACAGAAAAAAGCGGGAGGGAAGAAAATTTAATTATACATTAGCCATGAAATTACAGGAAGGTAGGAATGTGAATAAGCACTCCAGGAACAAATAATCAAAAAATAGTGGGTAATAACTGAGATATCTCAGATTAAATAGGACAAATTTAGCTGTAAAAATCTAATTGAAGCCCTATAATTGACACAAATCAAGATTAAAATAAAAGCACAGTAGTATGCTAAAATCAAAAAAGAGAAATACATGATATAAAAATACTAGCCAGGCATGGTGCTGCTCACCTGTAATCTAAGCTACTGGAGCGAAAGGACGAATCACAAGGCTGACCTAGTCAGTTTTGGGAGAACCTCTTTAAAGTTACATTTAAAAAAAAAAAAAAAAAAAAAGAGCAAAGGATGTACCTCAGCTCCCTGGGTTCCATCACCACCACAAAGCATTGTGGAACTTTCCTTTTCCTCTCCCCAGTTAAGTCCAAAGATACAGTCCTCAGAATCTTGTCTAGGAAGGTAAATTTGGTAATAAGATATTAAATGCTTCTATCAACTAATATTAATTATGAAAATTTAGTTTTATTTCAAATACTGGTTTTGGCAAAGGAAATCAAGTAGTTATAAAACAACACAATGTGATCCCAAAAAAAGTTCTTTAAATCTATCTTCAGTAACAGGAAAAACCTGAAGTAACAAAAATTTTTTTTTTTTGGTACCAGGAATCAAACTTAGGACCTTGCGCTTGCCAGGCAGTTACTTACTCTACTGAACTATCTTCCTGGGCCCCCAACATTTCTCTTAACTTCTAAATATGAAAACTTAATATAGGCAGGGCATGGTGGTGCACACCTGTAATCCCAGCAGGCAGAAGGATCTTGTGAATTCAAGATCAGCTTGAACTACAGCAAGACCTTAGTTCAAAAAAAAAAAAAAAAAAAAAAAGCCTAATATAAATCTTGAAAAGTAAATTAGACATATGACACTCATGTTTTTATGACTTTTCCCCTATTCAAAACAGAGGTTCTCATGGGTCTTTCTCATTTTGTACCTTTAGAACTAGTGTGCCTTTGTCTATACCAATTAAGTACTGATTAAACGACTACCCTTTCCTTATCTGTGGTTAATTCTTTACCAAAAAGAAGCTTCAAAATTCCCCAATGAACTTTTCAAAATTAGGTATATTTTCAGAAAAAAATGATTTAGTAAATCACAGACCCCCACATTGTTCTTTAAACCCTAAACATTCTAAAAAATACAACTTGTGTTAAAAGCCACATATATACAATTGCATATAACCAGCTCCTGTATACACTAATACACAAGTTGCTACTCAAAAACCAGTGGAAAAAAAATCTTATCTGAGAACCTAATATCTCAAGAAGTTCATTTCTTTTCATAAGGAACCATTAAACAACTTGTTGGGCTGGTGAGATGGCTCAGTGGTCTAAAGCACCTACTTGGAACAAGCTTAGCGAAGCCCAGGGCCCACGGTTCAATCCCCCAGCACCACATGCCAGCCAGCCCCGCCCCCTGGTGGGCTGAGCTGCCCCCACACACACACACACAAATAAATAAAATTAAAAAAAACAAAAACAAAAACAACTTGTTAAGAGAATCTGTAAGTGAAGTATACTCTGGACAACAAGGAGCACCTGAGCCTAGGAATTAACATACAAGGATGGATGGAACAAGGCGCTTACAATAGTAAGAAGTGTTTTCAACTTTGTATCTGTAACAAAAATTGAAATTAACACATTAGATGTCCCTGAGGACAGTCATCCCTTTTCACATTAAATATTAAGGCCATTGTATGATCTGCATTCCCCAGTCATACGATTCCACATTCCAAGTTGGTTAGCTGTGTTCAAGTACTGAGTGGAGAATGACTGTCTAAAAGAAAGACAACTTAGGCTAGCTAGCCTAAAGCCAGCTTGAGAATAAGCATATTTTGTTCACTCTAAAATACCCCTACCACTAAAAAGGCACATGACAGTTTCTAATTAAATTTGCTCCTTCCAAAACATTTATATTATTTCACAAATTAGCTATACCCTAAAAATAAAACTACATCCCCAGTTACTTAAGTATGAGCTAGGAGAAGTTCATTTCAGATAAAACCCTAAAATCACATTTATCAGAGAAACTGAAATGGTCCAGAGCTTAATCTTTTTGAGGTGCACTACATGACTTGAAATCTCAGCCACTTCTTAGCTGTATGAAAGTTAACATAACCTCTCTGCATTACCTCAGCCATAAAATGGAATAGCTCACCTCTCACGTGCTTGTCTTCAAGACTAAGTAACTACTCATAGTAGTATCTGGCATACAGTTGAGGCTTTATGTCTTAACTATTATAATACACGCAAACGAAAGTTCTATAGTTGAGGGAACATAGATCCAGATGGCCTGCATTCTGATCCCATGTCACATGAACCTAGACGTTTTTCTTCCCCTTTAACTTCTCTGGTCTAGTTTCTGATTTGATTTGCCAGACCAAATTAATGTAAGTTATTGTTTCAAGTAGTTGTAACACTGAGTTGCCCCTCTACCCTCACTGAACCCAGGGTCTTGCAGTGTGAGGGACCCACAATCCTTTTTTTTGAGAGACTGTCTTGCTATGGTAATCCCCGCCTCAGCCTTTGGAGTATTGGGATTAAACAAATTATGCCACCAAGGCTTGCTGGAGTTCTTTCAGGATCAGTTCAGGTCTGACATTAGGGGGTGTAAAAAACAACCTGCTATATTCAAACATTTCCCAAACCTATGTACTATGGTCATTTTGTGTAACAGAAACGGTAAAATGATCTATGACCACCAACATCAATCAATTTACAGTTTTACTTCTTTGATTTCTGTTGTCTAACAACCCTACCTGGGATCATACTACAGTTGGTTCAAAAAAGGACTACTGTAACAAAGTTATATGATCTAATAAAGTTAAAAGATTTAAGTTGATGAACAATTCATAAATGGCCCTACTGAATGAATTACCAAAAATTAGCAACATCTTATTAATAAGCATTACAATAAAATATTAGTGAGGACTACAGATGCCTTTCTAGGGCCTTCATACAAACACAAAATAGGTAACAAATCGTAACAGCAGCAATGGCTACTCTAGTCATTTTTAAAAATAAAGTACTACCCTTCAAAACTGTTTCAAGTATCTGGACATTCTTCCCCACAGCTGTGTGATACTTAAGATAGAACCTAGGACTTTCTATAAGCTAAGTAAATGGTCTATCATTGGGATACAACCCCAGGCCTTCTTTCTAACTTTAAAAGAGAAACACTCCGAAACTGCCCACACTGACTAAGAGAGATTATACTGTATTAAAAACAAAAAACACAAAACAGAAAAAACTTCCTAACATGATTCTGACAATGGGGCAGAGAAAAAAAAATATTTATGCATGCTTAAAATATTTTTCTTCCAGCCCTAATCAACCACGTACCACATAAACACTGTTTTTTGCGTTTTGAAGTCTTTAAATCCCAGTATTATGTAATTGTAAATATTGAGATCAACAACAACCTGATAACAACCTGATGTCAACTAAGACCCCTAAACTACCAAAGTTCTTTTAAAGTTTCTGAAAATTACACACTGTAACCTTAAACAGCAATAACCATTACAAGAGTTAGGACCCTCTTCAGAAACAAACATCACCACATCTAACCCCAACAATGACTAGGAACATAACATCTGTTTTCACTGCTGCCCTTCCAGTGTCTGAAACAGTGCCTGGTGTCTATCAGCACACTGCTATTTACTGTTCATGTGTAACAAACACCCATCTCACTGAACCCCACGAATAAGCTTGCTCTGAGATAGAACTCTTTAATCTGTTTCTGCTCAATATTCACTCTTAACCAATGCCTTAGTGCCTCTCTAGAGCTTTTAAATTAAAATGGTGTCACAGCATCTGGGTATCACCTGTAAAAAGAAAAAAAATCAATGAGACCGTCCTTCAAAGTGTTTTCTGTTTCACATGCATAAAAAGCAATGGATGAGACTATAGTGAGTTGCAATCGCCTGAACTAATTTCCCACAAATACAAGGTTCTGAAATATACCGAATATCTCTATTAACCATGCTGTAAATACAACTATGTTCAACATGATGCCCTAGAAGTAGTCACAGAAAAGTTATCCCTCAGAAATCATAACTTTTCTTTCTCTCCTTTAATAGATTCAAATAGCATCTAATAGATTCAAATTAGTATTTTCATAAACCCACTACAATGCAATGACCTAAAATTAAAAATTTCAGCATCACTGACTTAAAATAGAAACTTTGCCTTTTGTAAGACAGCAGTTTTTCAACTTAAATTCCGAAGTCATATTTATTAAATAATTGTAAGTTAAGCAGTATCAGATCTATTTTAGTAAAACCAAATCCTCCCATGTGTCCAAAAAAGTATCCTCAAAGTTCTAATCTGTCTCTCGATTTCCCGTAAGTCTGAATTTGTTCCCTCAAATTTTTTTTCAAGTTAACTGTAAATACTCCACCCTCCTCGATTGTGCAAGAACCAAATACACCACACATACACAAGACACAGAAAAAGGGAAAGACTCCCAAGAGTTCGAATTCTGGTTAAGTCTTGGACAGGGGGTCCCCAAGTAGTGCCTGAGACCGGATATAAAAGTTACCCCTTGACAAAGAATAGACCCCACACTATTAGGAACGGAGACGCCGGAAAGGGCCTGAGCTGGCAACAGCAGGCGCCATCTTAAGATGCGGGACAGAAGTTGGAGCAGAACCGAGCCTGAACCGGGCGGGGACCCTGTCTCCTGGATGGGGCGCGCTGGGCCCCGGGCCCAGGTGCGCAGCAGGCGCCCTGCTCCGGGCGGCGTGGCCCGGATCCCGCCGGCCCGGGCACTCCAACGTCCCCCCGGCCAGCCCGCCGCTACCTTTGCAGCCCCGGTTCCGTGGACCCCACCCGGCCCCCACCCGAACAGCCCCGGCAGCGTTTCCCAGCCCGACCCTACCTTATTAATCCGCTTCAACGCCATGGTCCGTGCTGTCCCGGCCCTCGGTGTCCGCGTGTGCTCAGCCCCGCCGCGTCTAGATGGTCCTCAGCTCTCAGCGGCTCAGACACGGCCCTTCGTAAGAACGGACGGGGCAGTCAGCGCCTGCCCGGGAACCGCGGCGGCCGGGGTCGAGGGGTGCGGGAATGGGGAGCGGGACCCGGGGTAGGGACCAGGCCGGAGCCCTGGGGGAGGGGTGTGGGGCCAGAGGTGGGGTCGCCGGGCGGCGTCACCGGACGGAAAGCGGGCGGGGGCAGGGCGCGGCGGCCTCACGGCGCCGGCCGCTTTCGGTTTCCGCTCGGAAGGGACGCGGCAGAGACTCGCGGGCAGATCCAGCACCCGGCTCCTCAGCGGGGACGCGCCCGGGCGAGCGGACGCTGCGGCCTGGCCTCCCCACCTCCCCACGGGGCTTCAGAGGCCGCCCGCGCCCACGCACAGAGGCCGGGGCTCCTCGCCTGGCCTCGCCTCGGCCTCCTCCCGCGCGGCTGCGGCGCCTCCCCGGCCGACGGGGCTCCGCGCGACACCGCCACAAGATGTCCGCCGGACGGAACTACGCCGCGCGCCCGCCCGCCGCCCCCCGCGCCTGCCTCTTCACCGCGCGAATCCGTCCGCCAACGCCGTGGCGCGAGCGAGCGCAGCTCGGCGGCCCAGTCCCCGGCCGACTCGGCCCGCGCACCGCCGCCTCCCACTCGGAACGGCACCTTAGACTAAGCCGACCGGAGGTCGCGCCGGGCGGGCGGGGGCCGGGGGCGGGTCATGGGCCGAGGGAGGGCGGGCGGCGGCGGAAGCCCGGACTCAGAGAAGCATCGAGAACCGGAAGGAGACCCCGAGAGGAAGGGCCTAGAAGCGGCAGCTGCGCGGAGGAGCCCCACGCCCCTCCCAGCGGCGTCCCCCAGTTTCCTCACTTGGTACGAAGGAGGCGGGTCTCGCGAGAAACGCGCGGCAGCCTGGCCGGAGCTAGAGCTCTGCAATGACTTAAGGGCAGTTTTGTGCGCTCTTCCTGGCGGAGCCCCGCCCCAGACCCGCAAATTCTCGCGAGATGCGCCAAAACGCTGGCCGGAAGTGGGTGGGACCGCCGGCAGGAAGCACCGCCCCCTTCGCCGCGGTCTTCGCTGGTGGGAGGGAGAGGAAGTGGAATTCTCCGGGCGCTGGGAACGAGAGGTAGCCTTTGGGAATGTGCGAGTGGGCGGGGTTGCGGGCTGATGGCGGATACCTGTGCTTCTCGTAGATCCGCGAGGGCAGGTGAACAGTATTTCCTGCCGGGCCGTCCCCCAGTGCCGCAGGCGCTCTTCGCCAGGAAAGCCGAAGGCCCGCTCAGCGCACCCACGTGGCGGAGACGAGCGCGTGCCCAGGCTGGGAGGTCACGATCCCTCGCAGGTGTGGGCGATCAGAGATGGGGTAGCTCAGCAGATACCGTACCGCCTTTCCTCGGAGTCCACTTCCCTAGGCCACGGTAGCCAGAGTCCGAGAAATCAGATAGGATTTTGGGTCGGAGAAGCTAAGAACGTGGTGGAATCGAGGTGACGGCATCGACACGGACTGTATACATCATGTCCCAACTACTGAAGTGCTTTTAAAACTCACCAAAGTGGAAACCTTCAAGGGTTACATAGTCAAATAAGCTTGATTTTAAAATATGCTTCATTTCGAAAACAAAATATTACCTAATAAAGTCACAGGTAAATAATAAATGTTCTGAGAAATTCTGTTTAAGTGACCTTATAGTTTCACTAGAGTCAACAGTACTTGTCAAACAAGTATCCATAGTGATCACCTGGAGTTTTTCGAAAGGTAGATTTTTGATTTAGTAGGCAAGGCTGGAGATGGAGTCTATAGCTCTAAAAAGCTCCCAGCTGATACTGATACTTTTCAGTCTGGACCATTCAGAAACTAGCAAACCACCCAGATGCTCAGCTCTCGCTTGTTGAATATCTGATTCCTCCCCTCACAGAGTAATGTTTCCATTGTCCTTTCTTCTGCTTACCAGGTATAGTAAGAGGCACCGGATTAGGTCTGAGGGTGGAGGAAAAAAACCTAGGTTTGAGTTCTTACTGTTTCCCATTTGTAAAATTGGCCTGGTTACTCATCTGAGTCTGCTTCTTCCCTACTCAGCTAAATGTAATAATAGCCATCCTCTCTTGGAGTTGCCATGTGGTTCACGTGTAATAGGGACCCTGGACTCTTTGGTTCTGTATAAATGTAAGTTACTCAAGTTAACAAGTCAGATATTGACTGGCCCAAGTATGAAATGTAGTGATAGGAATAGGTCACATACATGGAATTTATCACACTCTGGATATTAATGCTCTTCTACAAATGAAGAAACAAAAACATGGATTAAGTTACTATCCCAAGGTAATAAATGACAGAAGTAAAATTTGAGTTTATACAATTAACTGCAGAATATGGATGGATGGAGTTTCATAGAGCAAGATGTTTTCTGTTTCTACCTTATTTATTTTTGGCAGAACCGGGGATTGAACACAGGCCCTTGTGCTTGCCAAGCAAGGGCTTATTCTACTGAGCCATCTTTTCAGCCCCTGTTTCTACCTTAAATGACATCTGAGTCTAATTTACTTTATTTCTCTTGACCTAACTTATATTTTCCATTTGTTTTGTATTTCCAGAAGCTAGGGTACACGGATAGGAAAAAACATTTCCACTTACATAAAGGAAACTAATAATATCCCAGGAGGTCCACCAGAACGAAAAGACTCCCAAAAAACCAACTTGTAAAAAAAAAAAAAAAAAAAAAAACCAACTTGTGTTATTCTAATTCAACCAAGCTTTGGTGGAGCACAGTGGAACTCAGTGCCCCAGGTTGACACAACACGGTGGACTGGGACAAATATGAGGCAAAACTCCTAACTTTTTTGTGCTACAAATCACTTTGGCAGTCTGATGAAGTTGTAGACATTCTCCAAGTAATATACATGTGACATTAAATTTACTGTATTATAAATTAAGATATTTGAAAATAAATTCATGAATATAAGTATACTTTCTTTAGAAAGTATGGAAATACATAATAGAAACCTGGGCAATAGTTTTATCTCATTTGTTGATTTTTTTTTTAATCCCCTATTTTACCTGACTGGAAAATTGAACTATCCAAGTTGATCAGAATGATTTATTTCCCAAGCATTCTAGGTAATCTAGTTTTTATTATATCACATGTATTTATTATATGTTTTTGTAAATGAGACGTGTGGAAGAATTACAAAATGAGAATAATAAGGGGCTAGGGAGTGCTCAGTAGAATAAGCACTTCCCTGGCAAGCATAAGGGTCTGAGTTCAATCCCTGCTTCTGCCAAAGAGATTAAAAAAAAAAAAAGAAAAGAAAGGATAAAAGAAAGTTGAATATGCCATATTTAAAATTTTAAATAAGTTTTAGTAACAGCTCAAGTACTTACTGTGTGCTAGGTCTTTTTAACTGATCCCATCAAATCCACATTGTACAGATGAAAAACAGGTTATATAATTAATAATAGTACAGAGACAGGGCATGGTGGCGTGTGCCTGCAATCCTAGCTCTTGGGAGGCTGTAAACAGGAGAATCACTATGAGTCTAATCTAGTAGTGAGACCCTGAACACCCTGTAGACCCTTCCCTAAAATACAAAAAAAAAAAAAAAAAAAAAAAAAAAAATCAATCAATAAATAATAATAGCAATAGTACAGCCAGGATTTGAAATAGGCAAACAGACTTCAAAGACAGACTCCGTTTTTTTTTTTTTTTTTTTTTTTGCGGGACCAGGGATTGAACTCAGGACCCTGCACTTGCCAGGCAAGCGTTTATTTTACTGAGCTATCTCCCCGGCCCCACAGACTCCGTTTTTGAAGCAGATTCTTGATAAGTTGCCTAGGTGGGACTTCAACTTTTTGTCTTCTTCCCTCAGCCTCCCAAGTCCTGGGGTAACAGATGTGTGCCACCAAGCCTGACCTCAAGGCCAGCACTCAAACCGCTAACCTTTTGACTTTTAGTCCTTTGACTGTTAGCCAGTGTTAATTTTTCTGTTAGGGAAACGTACATATTTGCTATCTCAGAATATTTTATATATTTCATATAGAGCTCTACTCGATGACTAAAAGGAATTATCCAAAGTCCTACAGTTACACTAATTATATCCAATATTACTTTTACATGGGCTACTAGTTGGGACTGGAAAACAGTTTTTGTTTTACAAAAATTTTCATTGTGATGGAGCTGGCACCAAAGAAAATATCCACCCTTGGCTATTTCAGCCCTGCAGACATACTTTCACATTTGAAATCTAAACTTTTGTTTAGTCTTTTTTTTTTTTTATATTGCCCATATATTGACCATTAACTGGATCATGTGCCCTTACTGACTGCCTGGGAGCCTGGAGCTATAGAGCATTGCTTTAGCCCCAGAGTTCAAGGCCAGTTTGGGCAACATGTTGAGTGAGACCTGGTCTCTTGAAATTAAGTCAGATAAAAAAAAAAAAAAAGGATACAAAGGAAAGATTATTTGGTATTTATATATAAAAATAGGATAAATTTACAGCTACTTTCACTTAATGAGAAGAAAGAGGTGTACTAACAGTGTTTGAACAGAATATCCTGTCTGCTTCTTGTACTATGGATAACCACTAAGAAGATAGCTGTACAGTGTATTGACTGTCAAAACTGTCCTATTAATGTGAAACTGTCTCATTCATATGTATTTCTCAATAAAAAATAAATATATAAAAAAAGAAATTAAGTCAGATAACATTTTTTTTTTAAATTAAACTATGTAAAAATTCATTTATAAAACAAAGCCTACTTACCTGGCAAGCGCAAGGGTCTGAGTTCAATCCCCGGTTTCGAAAAAAAAAAACAAAGCCTAAATACGGAATTATAGATTATCCATGTTTAATGAGACAATAATAGCATAACCCTAAATTCAGTTTAGTTTGGCATTCTTTGGAGGTGAATTTTATTGCTCAGCCAGGCTTTCAGTTTACTTGCTTAGTTGTAATCACAGTAGTAGACTTACATTTCTTGTCTTGAGGTCTAAGGATACAGCAGGCTAGTATGAACTAAAATGCTTAAATATTTCACAATCTTACATTTTACAGTTGCAATTAAAGTTTATATTGTCATTATTAAATTTAATTTGCATTAAGTAACAAAAGTGTCTCCCTCTATGGAAATAAAATTATATACAGGCCCGTCTGGGAAGGCTCCCTCCTGTGTACTGGCCTTCTATGCTGTACTGGCCTTCAGCACAGGCACTGTTAAAATAAAAACTCACTTTGGTGTTCCTTTTAAAAAACAACAAAACAAAACAGCAGGAGCTGAGGATGTAGCTTAGTGTTCCCTCAAATCCCAGTAACACATACACACACACACACACACACACACACACTCTCTCTTTCATATTTTCTTACATATTAGAAGGCCTATTAAAAATATAAAAGACTAAACAGGGTGTGATGATGCCCACCTGTAACTGCAGCAGCTCAGGAGCCTGGGGCAGGAAGATCACAAATTCAAGGCCACCAGGGACAATTTAGAGACCCTGTCTCCCCCCTCCCACCCCCCCCAAGGGTCTCGCTATGCAGTTCAGACTGGCCTTGAGCTCAGGTTGTAGTCCAGGCTGGTCTGGAACTTGCAGTGATCCTTCTGCCTCAGCCTCCCTAGTCCTGGGATTACAGGTCTGTACCACTATGCCTGACTTAGAGACCTTGTCTTTTAAAGGGGGGGGGGGGAGTCTTGTTATGTAGCTCATCATTCCAAGGTTCAGTTCTTTTCCCAAGGGAAAAAAAAAATAACATTGCTATGAAATTAGCAGCTGACCAATGCACAAAGAAAGTGTGCCAGGGCCCCAATATGTGAGTTCTTCACTAAGGGCACATTGTTATAATAATATGAGTTTAGGGGTTAACTAAAATATATTTGCAAATAAATAGAATATAGTTTGTTCTGTAAGTACACATGATTATATCTGAGTATCGTTAATGTATCTGTACTGTCATGTCTAAATTTGTCATAGAATTTTATAACTTGCTTGGACCACCAGGTCTACTACAGTGTTTCTTATTTAATTAAATTCTAAATGCTATAGTCAAGATTTTACCTTCAGAGTGCATTATACATATTCTGCTTTGAACAGATAATATAGAGCTCAAGTCATCCAAATATTACTGTATATTGTTTGCATAAAAATTATGTGAACTTCTGTACTTAATTTAGAATCCCTTTTTTATTAAATTAATGGAGTTTAAGAAAACTGTACTTTCATACTAAGAGATTCATTTTGCCCTTAATATGGTTTTTGGTATGTTATGAACCATGAAAACTTTCCAATAAAAGTAGATTAACATGTTTCACACAAAAATGTACACAAATGTTCAGAGTAATATTTAGTCATAATATCCAAAAAGTAGATAAACCCAAATGGGCATCAACTGATGAGTGGGTAAATGTGATCCACCCATAAAATGAGATCGTACCAGTAAGAAGTGCAGTATCCAGGGGGGCTGTGTCTTGAAAACATTCTGTTAAGTAAGAAAATCCAGTCATAGAAGGCCATACCTAGTATTTGATTCCATTTTTCAAATGTTCAGCAGCCAATCCAGGGGGTAGACAGTGGCTACCTCAGTGCCAGGAGTGGAGTAGGAGGAATGACTCACTAACCAGGGCGGCGTTCTCTGGAAGGCCCTGCAGTCTTCTACCATGGATAGTGGTGATGACACTGAGGGATGGCTGTGTGCACAGCTCTTTGTAGAGACTAAAGACCATGGAATTGTTTGACTGCATCACTGTTACTAGGAGTTACCTCAGTATTGATATTTCTTTAAAAAATCTATAACCAAAATATGAACTCACCTGGAAATATTCTAAATATCCTGTAGCATTTTTCACATCTTTCATGGCAAGTGAGATCCATCATTGTAACTAAAAATGTGAAAGATTAACAAATTTTTCCTTCAGTATAAACAATAATTTGTATTTGATTTTAATGTACTAAGCACTTGCTGTCAGTCTTAAATTTGCAGGTGTATTACTGATATTTGTTCAATATAACATAATGACTGTGGCCAGCCAGAGAGCTCAGTGGATCTGCTTAGGCAGAGCACAATGGCCAGGGTTCGATCCCTGGTGTGCCGTGCTGGCCCACGCACCTGTAATCCCAGTGCTTGGGCAGCTGAAAACAGGAGATTCACTAGGAGTCCGATCTGTGTAATGAGACCCTGTAGACCCTTTCCTAAATACATTAAAAAAAAAATGATTAAGAATTAACTCTTTTTTTGCAGCATTGAGGAACAAATCCAAGAGAAGCTAGGAAGTGCCCTGCGACTAAGCCACACCTAGCAAAATTAACTTTCAAACAATATTATATTTCATTAAATATAAAAGATCCTAGTTATGATCACAGATAGAGCAAATTTGATTTTGGTATGCTGTACATATATTAAGAATCCTTAAAATTTTAAATGCAATTGGATTTTCAAGAAAATAATACAAAAAATAATCCTAATACTTAAACATAAGGATTTTAAATTACCATAATGAAGCTCTTTCTTGTTTAATAATGATACAAATCCCGAAGTAAACAGAGATGGGGTATGATTTATACCAGAATTGATAAGTCTTACCAGTATTGGATTTGATTATTTAGATGCCTATATAAAAATTCTTCAATAAAATTGTGATGATAAATTTAAATTTTCTTCTATAAAATAAGTTCAAGAGTGGTTGTGATGGAGTCTGGGTGTGGTGGCGTGTGCCTGTAATCCCAGCACTAGGGAGGCAGAAATCAAGTGGATCACTGTGAGTCCAGGCTTTGTAAAAGTGAGACCCTGCACAAAAAAAAAAAAAAAAAAAGAGTGGTTGTGATGGAGCCGGGAAAGTAGCTCAGTGGCATAAGTGTCTGCCTGGCAAATGCAAGGTCCTAAATTCAATCCCTGGCACTGTTAAAAAAAAAAAAAAAGAAAGGAAAAGAATGGTTGTGACAATGCAGTACATAGTGGATCTCGAGGACCAGAGGTCCATGGGATCTGAGTGACAAAGGAGCCATCGTGAGGTTTTGGGTTCTTGTGCACACAGGCATCCCTTGGTGTCCTGAGGGGAGAGTTCCAGGACACTCGCACATGGGTACCACAAGCCATGGTGCTCTAGCCCCTTATATAGAATGTGATAGGACTTGCATGTAATCCAATTGTGGCACCCTCTAAGTCATACCTAAGACACTGAATTCCTTTCTAAATACAGACAGTTCTGTATTTAAGGATTCCTGCCAAGAAAAGCCTGTGTCTGTTCAGTTCAGATCGGGGTTCTACAACAATGTTTTTGATCAGCAGTGGGTTCAGTCAGTGCCAGGAGTTGATTTTCTGGCACCTGTTAGTGATTCTTTCATTGCATAGAAGCACATAGCCCAAAAGAATGGATGAAACTTTGGGAAATACTCCACTACAGCTAAAAAAAAAAATGCTTCCTCCAAGGGTGTGGCTCAACTTATAGATAAGAAGTGTGACCATTATTGGATATACTCCATTGCCAAAAAGTATTAAACTTCAACTATTCAAACTTAGTGATTGAATAATAATAAAACTGGACTCTCGTACATACTGGGAAAGAAAATAAAACAAGACAGTTTCCCTGTATATCCAAATAACCACTGAAAAAGAACTCGGGGCCTTACAATGCTTGAAATTCAGTGTTTTAACATTTATACTTTTCCAAAGACCTGGCAAGATGGCGGAAGTAGAGCAAAAGAAGAAGCGAACCTTCTGCAAGTTTACCTACCGCAGCATGGACCTCGACCAGCTGCTGGACTTGTCCTGGGAAAAGCTGATGCAGCTCTATAGTGCTCGGCAGAGGCCGCAGCTGAACTGTGGACTTCGGCAGAAGCAGCATTCACTACTGAAGCATCTGCACAAGGCCAAAAAGGAAGCACCACCCACGGAGAAACCCGAGGTGGTGAAGACACACCCTCGAGACCTGATCACCCTGCCCGAGATAGTGGGCAGCATGGTGGGTGTCTACAATGGCAAGACTTTCAACCAGGTGGAGATCAAGCCTGAGATGACTGGCCACTGCCTGGGCGACTTCATCACCTACAAGCCCGTGAAGCACGGCCAGCCTGGCACTGGGTCCACTCACTCTTCACGCTTCATCCCCCTTAAGTAGCCACCTGGCCCATAAAGCCACCACTGCTGCCCTCCCCCCCCCGCAAAAAAAAAAACATTTATAGATTAGGGAAGACTAGCTCTTTCTTGTTCTCCACCTTTTTGTTTTGCACCAATAGGGAAGATTACTCTGGAGCATGCCAGGGATAGGGCATAATGCCTGCCCTTGGCTTGATGGGGTTGTATTTAGGGAAAGCAGGAGAGGTAAGGACATTGGAAACTAGATAGAGAAGTACAGAGAAAGCAGCAGGAAGGGCAATGTTAAAAACAAACTCAATCCGTACTTGGGGGTGAAATCTGTGAACTGCAAGAATGAGGAGGAAAGCCCTTTCCTTCCTGTCATATTCTTCCTTATTTTGTTCACACATTTGTATGTATATGTCATGTATGATAAGCAAATATTTTGTTTTCCTACCCTTCATTATGTAACCTAAGATACACCAACTTTATATTAACATTTAGGTATCATTAACTACGTCTTTGTTTCAGTTAATATTGGGAGATAAGGGAGTGTCACTCAAGGACTTCACCTGGTCTTCAGAAGAAGGGATTAGAATCTAATTTGAGAAACACTAGTGGAGATAGAGGTTATAAATTTATTTTCCGTGGCCCTATAACTCTTGGGTGGGAAAGGTGAATATGATTCTAGAGTTAAAGGAGAAAGGAGTGCTTACATGATGTTAAAGTTCATTCCTGTTTTGAACTCAGGCATAATATCTTAGAGACAATTAGAATCCGCAGTTCAGCCCACAAAAAGCATTTCTCTCAATCCAGCATTCCTGTTGGTGTTACATTCCTAGGAAAAATGCTCCATAGTTTCCACACTGCTTTAGCAGGGATAGACGCCTCTTCCTTTCTAACCCAAAAGCGGAGATTAGCTTCAAGCAACCAGAGTGACATCCTGTGGTTTGCATTGAGTTTTCCAGCACAGTGGGAACAGCTGACTAGGGTAAGATCATGTTGAGTGATTGGGTGAAAGCTTTAGGAGGTTGGAAATTGGATGTTTCATCTTCTTCAGTGTCACTGTGTTTGGGGTTTGCTCAGGGATGCCTTTTGTTTTTCAGTTCCAGGTGAGCTCACTGCCATTATCAGTTGATTCTCACCAGGAGTCAATGAGCTTTCTTTGTTTATCCTACTATCTATGGAAAATGACAATTTCACAGGATCTTTCTTTTATTTACGTTTTTGTTCCTAAAACAAGTACTGTCAAGCTTTTTTTAAATGGTACTATGATTTCAAAGTTTAAGGGCTGGGGAGATAGCTCAGTAGAATAAGTGCTTGCCTGGCAAGCACAAGGGCCTGAATTCAATCCCTGGTTCCAAAAAAAAAAAAAAAAAAAGAAAGAAAGAAAAGTTTATGTATTATAAGCAAACAGCTGGCAGTAGGAGGTTCTGTGATAAAGTAAGGAAAGGGTTAAAGAACTTTCATTTGGGGGAAGGGAAGGAAGACCAAGAGGAAGTACAAAGAACTAAGAGTTGTTATGCACTTATACCAACTTCCTGCATAATGAATGTAATCATGTACGGCAAATGTAAAAAACATTAAAAAGCCCAGCAAGGTGACGCACATCTATAAACTCAGCACTTGGGAGACTAAGGCAGGAAGTGTTACAAGTTCGAGCCTAGCCTGAGCTACATAGCCAGTTGAAAGACAGCCTGAACTTCATAACAGGATCTTGTCTTTAAAAAAAAAAAAAAAAAACACTCTCATTTGATCCTTATTTTAATTCCTACCACTGTTTCCAAGTCACTAGCCCTACCCAACAAATTAGACCAGATTGAAGAAGTCATAAGATTCAACTACAGCCATCTCCATAATATAAGACATGCCTAGAAATCTGTCATTGATGGGGAGATGATAGCTCAGCAGCAAAAAAGACATGTCGGGGCTGGAGAGATGGCTCAGTGCTCTAAAGCACCTACTTAGAACAAGCTTAGCAAAGCACAGTGGACCGCGGTTCAATCCCCCAGCACCACATGCCAGCCAGCCCCACCCCCTGGTGGGCTGAGCTGGCCACACACACACACACACACAATAAATAAATGTAAAAATAAATAAATAAATAATAAAAGACATGTCCATCAAAAGTAGGTCATATAAATGATGGTGGTCCTAGAAAATCATAATGGGGCCTTGAGACACAGCCATCCTAACATAGCCTGTCATGTAACATGTCTGTGGTCTTGTGATGTAAATAGATTACTACGCTGCCAGCAGTGTGGAAGTAAAGCTCAGGGCTGGGGCTAGAGTGCTTGCCTAGCATGTATGAAATTCTGAGTTCCATCCCTGTCACAGGGACAACAATCCAGCACTTACAGCCCTGCACAATAGATAGTAACTTGAGAGCAAGAATAAATGACTCTGTTTACTAGTTTCTATGTTTACAACACTCTGCTTTGATGGTTTGAGTGTATCCTTATGAAAGTGATATCTCATGGTACATCAGCAGCAGCTCTATACATCTCCTATTTACACATCTCAGAGGCATCCAGAACCAATGGAATGATTGCCCTGGGTCATCTGTTTCTGGTAGGTACACTTAGGATGTTCAACAAGCGGAGATGACGTAATAGTGCATTTCTCAGAAAGTAACTCCACTGATAAGCAATGCATGACTGTACATTCTAAAGATAAAATCAGACCCTGGAGGCCAGAAGTCAGAAGTGAATTGCTCTGAGTTAAAATCAAGCTATTAGAGGGGCTGTGGCATTCCTTTGTAGAGGCTTTGAGGCAAGATCTGTTTTCTGACTCTTTCTAGCTTCTAGAGGCTGTTTCATTCCTTGTCCCGGAAATTCTTTCTACAAAGCCCGTGATGGTTGGTGGAGTTGTCCTCCCACTTTGGTATTCTGACAGATTACTCCATAGGATGTTGAATACCTTGGGCTACCTGTATACACCAGGTAATCTCCACAGCTCAAGGACAGATGACTCATAGCCTTTCTTCCTCCTTGCCAGTTATATATATTCATGGATTCTGGGGACTGGGATATGAATGGACAGCTTTGGCAGGGTGGTGGGCAGGGGGAATTATTCTGGTTAGAGCAGTTGTTTGGAATTCACTGAGTTTTCTTGAGTCTAAGCAACTTCCCTTCTAACATCGCATTCTTTATTGTCCATAAAATAGATGCCTACTCAAACTAGCCAATGTCAAGAAAGTTCAGATTAAAAAAAAATAAAGTAAGTTCAGATATACTGAGGGTTAGAAAGAAATCTTGTATTTCACACCTCAATGTGATTGCTTACGACTCAAGAATTCTAGTGAAGGAAAAAAAAAAAGAATTCTAATGAGGTAGGTACAGTATCTCTTATCCAAAATGCTTGGATCCAAAAATGTTTTGGGTTTCAGATTTTTATTTCAAGGTTTTGAAGTATTTGTGCATATGTAGTGAGATCTTGAGGAGGGACCCTGTGTAGACATATAATTCATTTATGTTTCATATACATCTTACACACAAAGCTTGAAGGTGATTTTATGCATTTGTTAGTGTGTACCTATAGCCCTCCCCCTCTCACCCCCTTGGATCTGGAGCTTGAGCCCTGGGCCTCCCTTATGCATGATTGGAAAGTACTCTACCACTAAACTACATCCCAACCCTTTTACATTTTGATAGAATCTCCCTAATTGCCCAGGCTGGCCTTGAGCTCATACCTCAATCTTCCAAGTAGCTGGTATTACAGGCATGTACAACCACACCCAGCTGTGTCTTGTGTTGTGATATGATCTGTCACATGAAGTTGAAGGTGAAATTTTCTACTTGTGGTATCATGCTGATGATCAAGTATTATGATCATGACTTGGGTGTATGGGTACATGTTTCATACCCACTCAGATGAAGAGTATTGGGCACTTTAGTGTCTTCAGTAAGGACACTCAGCCTGTACTGCCATATTATAAGTTGAAGAGTGTTTGGGTGTACATGAAAGATGGAAAATGGGGAGCATGTCCATCATGAGAAACTAGAATCTCAAGAGTATTAGTTTAATGGAATATAGGGACAAAGGACAGCATTTTCCCCCAAAGGATAGTATTTTAAGAATGGAAGAGATTTGAATAAATTTATAATTCAGTATCATGAAAAGATATGAGACAGAGATAGGAACAGATGGAGTCAATTTCTCAGGAGATGTGAAGCTCTATGTAAAAAATACAAGATTTGGTTTGAACAAGACAGAAGCCCACAGGAGACTAGAGGAGAAGTAGATGGAATATGGTGATAAAGTTTAGGCAGAGGAAGACAGAATGTTGATGTTCTTAGTATAATAGGAAGAAGGGGGAAAAATCCTTTTATAAGGCAGTCAGGAGTAGGATACCATGGTTCAATCCCCAGCTTCACCTGCCTTACCAGTCCTGCCCTTCAGGCAGCCTGCGCTGCCAAAAGAAGAAAGAAGCAGGGCCAGGGAGATGGCTCAGTGGAATAAGTGCTTCCCTGGCAAGTGCAAGGGCCCTAGTTCTAATCCCTGGTTCCGCAAAAAAAAAAAGATGAAGAAAGAAGAGGAAGAAGAGGAGGGGGGAGGAGGAAGGGGGAGGAGGAGAAGAAAGAAGGAAGAAGAAAAAGAAGGGCTGTGTGGTGATACTGAGTCAGGTTTAAGAAAAATAAATAAGTTTGGAGTTTCTACAGAGGGAAAATGAACTAACCAGAGGAAAGAAGTTCTTGTTAGGTGCCTAAAGCAGGAGATTATGAATTTGTAGGGTCATTTCTTATAGCTGCATGATTTTTTTTTTCCTCTATGTATGAAAGGCTCTGGGTGTATGGGCACATGTTTCATGGTTAACAGTTGATGAATATGAATGGAAAAGTGTCATAAAAATGGTATCCTTAGTATAATGGTACTTTTATTAGTGTAAAATTAACAGTTCTTCTGAAAAATTAATGTTCCCATTTCAGGAAACTCAAATGGCAAGAAAAAGTTTTCATTAGTTAAAAGGTAGTGAAGAAAGAAATGAGGTGAGAGAGACAATGAATTCAATCAAAGTTTCATCCTCAGATGTTTACTGAGCACTGTGTATGAAGCTGAGTTTTGCATTGTGGATAAAACTT